TCATCATCATCATCATCATCATCATCATCATCATCATCATCATCATCATCATCGTCTAAAAAGCAGAGTAGGTAGGGAGAGTATTGCTTGATTTACAGACAAAATATATAAAATGTTTAAAATTTTGTTTTATTGAATCTGCTTGACGTTTCGCCACGTGTTTCCTCATCACCATCCCCGTACCATCACTCTTATCATGATCATCTGAAACTAAACAATTCCCCCTTTTCTTGTGTTGTTGTTGTTTTGTTTTGTTTTTTAACATAACAGGTTGCACTATGTCAACACATTAACCTACAAATAATTCAGGACACGGAACAAAAAAAAAGGTATGACACTCGATATTTATACCAAGAAACCTACACTTGATAATAAAGCAGGTCTCTCAATGAAAGGTTTATGTCTGAAACGTGACATGTAAAGATGTAGAAATGTATTTTTTTTAATAAAGCGTGTGTAGTCTGAAATATTAAGATAAAAATGTGTATAATAGCAATGATGTATTCTCTTGTCAATAAGTATAGAGTACTAAACTATGGTCTGCTGGGGTAATAATATAGTGTAAAGCGCATAGAGCCTGCTGTTGAGCGGGGATATGCGCTATACAAATGCTATCTATTATCTATTATTATTATTATTAAACGTTATGTATGAATGAGTAAAATTATTATAGAGCATTATCTCCATAAAAGCCTTTGGCAAATGTCAGAAGATGTAGGCGTGAATGAGTAAAATGGTGTAATTGATTAGCAGCTTCCGGATATTCAAGATGCTCTTGTGGTTTTTCACGTTGATGACTTTCTAAGGACATTAAATCTCGAGCCCACGGTCTTATGACTCGGGGTTCAAAGCCCGATCCAGTGAATTTTTATATACCACCCCCCCCCCCCCCCCTCTCAAAAAATGATAAGAAACAGGTCGCCTTTCACAATTTTTTAAGGTAAGCAAGAGCACAAAAGAGATGAACAATTTATCAGTAAAAAAAAAATCTTTGGCTTGTTTCGAAGCTTATCAATACGCAGTCTTTATTTACTGGTTTATCTATCATTGTTCATGGAAATGTTCTCACAGAACTCAACAAAATAATAGTAGAAACATGGCACTTGTTGAACGATGCATATGACATGATTTGAAGCATCTTAATGGTCAAATAGAGTCATGATTGGTCGTAATGCGGCATGTTAATAACAAGCAATACAAAAAGAAACATTCATAAATTACAGGAAAGATTTCATTACTATTTTCTATTTTGATTTTTAAGAGATGGAGTGGCGATGCAAAAATTAATATCAAAATCATGAAAATCCATGCGACAGCAAAAGTTTCCCAAAAGCAAAAAGGGAACCC